TTACATTATCAAATATAGGAAATTATTCTGCATCTTCTCTCCCAAAGTTAAAAAATGTTAATTAAATGCTACTCATAGTTGATAAAGTAGTAGGGAATCAGTCAAAAGTATTAAATCTATTCATCTTTCATAACTATAAACAACTAAGAATACAAGCAAGAGTAAGAACACAACATTAAATAATAAGATTATACTATTAAGAAAAAAGTATCAGTTGGGTTAGAAAGGGGGGGATTAAAAATCACTCTATCATCCCCTCCAAAAATTGCAAAATCCATTTTATGAAACTCACTCAAAAGAACAAAATACAATGCAAGTAGCCCAAGGAGACAAAAACAGACACTTGTCTGAAAGGCAAGAGTTCTCTTTTAAAGAGTTCCTATACATTCATTCAAAAATAAATGACCACAAGACAAAGAAAGCAAGACTTCAAAAGTATTCTTAAAGGGCAGGTGTTAAAATCTCTCTAGCTGAGACCAGAAGTCATGCCACTGCCAGGACAAATATCAGGCCCATTTGCTCATGGTTGGGGAACAGTTATTTCAAAAAGAAAACACACACACACACACACACACACACACACTCAACTACTATAGTCCTCAAGAATTTTGCAGTCACTGTTAAGAAAGTAGCCTGTCCAAATGAAACTTCCCAATCAAAGTCCATCCCAGCTTATTTATGTAGGAAGCACTCAAACAGGGAAAGCATCCGTGACAGTGAGATCAAGAACATTTATATATATATATATATATATATATATATATATATATATATATATATATATATACACACACACACACACACACACACACACACACACACACACACACACACACACGCAATTAGCTTTCCCTAGAGAAAATTCTGTAGTGGAATGTACTTCATTCTGCCATGATGCCCTCTTCAGTGAAGAAATATAACCCAAGAAAGCTTTTAGTAGGTATTTTCTGCTCCAAATTACAGGTAATCACACTGATCTACTTAAGGAATGGCATTGACCTATTATCACCCATCTCTCATAAATACACCTATTATCCATGTAGCAAACCCAAGGAACATTCATATAACAATAAGCAATTGGATAACGGTAAGAGGTGATGGACACTACTAAATTTAACCTCCCTCTTCTGCTCTCACATATTTCCTATTATTTTAACAACCTTGTAATAACATCATAATGTTTGATATATGAATCAAATGAGGTTATTTTAACATGCATTTTGTGATTTTTTTTTTGCCAATTGGTATATTCAAAACTACTCATTATCAAGACTGGCAAAAAGCTGTCATAAACCCATTGGTATTTGTGATGAAACTGTAATCAAATGTGTTGATGCTCATCTTGGTGTATTTACAAGATTCTTAGAACACATAACACTGGAGCAGATCTCCACCTACCCTTGAAAACAAAACAGCCTTGTTTTGATTCAAGGTGAATACTTCCTTTTGCTTGGAGTCTTCTGGGTCCATCTGTACAGTCGCTTAGAACTTGGACTTTTCCCAAAATTGCAGTATTCATTTAAAATCAGAATGGTATTCTCAAATACCTCAACAGACAACGTACCTAAATTTTTATTTTATCTATAATAGACATGAAAAAGTTTGTTCATGCATATGTACAAAAATGTGTCTACACATTCATTTTTTTTAATTATGCAGTATAGAGCTTGAGTGCATTGATATTCTAGATGACATTTATCACTTCTTTTAGTCCAGGAAATATTTAGAATCTGAAATGAACTTTGTAAGATGAATCTAATCTAACCTAAGAACATACAGCTAAGTGAATTAAATAGTTATTAAGGAATTAGCAATTCAGTGGCAAAGTGTTGAAGTCTCAGCCCACACAAAAGACAATCTGTACAGTTACAACATGAAGTCAGCATTTTTTTTACAAAAACAATTGGGAAAGAACTGGAGATTTGGGAAGAGGGTACAAAATAGGAAGTTCAAATACATAAATAATGTTTTTGTTCCCTCCTGTTCTTCTTGTTACCTACCAGCCAGAAAAATCAGCAGAACTAAATGCCTCTGCAAATACAGGTGTGCAGTCTGTGACTTGGCCTGGTAGCTTTTCAAAAAACGTTCACTCCAGATCTACAGTAAAATATATATATAATTTAAACCCAAAGGCTGATTTCACTCTGTCAGCTCAGTTAGAAATGATGGCTACCCAAAACAGAGTAGACAGGCCTGCATCTGGGAAGACACAACATCCTTTGAAACGCTGGGGACCCAAGCTCTGAATTGTGCTCCTTACGCAACTAAACTAACATGATCACCCCCAAGAATAACAGGCCACATCCTAAAGAGAGAGACTCCATCTCACTAACCAAATTCCAGAAGCTAGCACCAATTACACTTTACTAATTATGTGTCACTGTGTATATCTAAATTCAATTTGCTACTTCTTCTCCTTGCAAATTCCTGACTAGCTAGTTATGGGAAATTGCTTATTAGGCTAACTGTTTGCTGGGAAGAAACATTTGGTAAGTGTCATGAACTCCAAACTGCTAGTATAATCTCTATTTCATAATCCTTGCTTCTAATACAGAAATTCAACTCTGATTTCCCAAGACCAATATACAAGGCAACCAAGGAGCCTGTCTAAATATCCCAGTGGTTAATGCTAATTCTGAGTCAAAGCAAAGGAGAAGGCCATAGATTGTTTTGAAGAGTTTCACAGGCTTTGCCTTCGTAATTAATAAGCTGACACAGCATACTAAACACTTATCAACACAATCAATGGGGGCTGCTTCCTTCTTGAGAAAACAGATAAAACGGTTCATGGAGTTTTCCTTCAGAATTGTCTGTAATACACAAATATGTCACAAATATCGTGGTTCTTCTGGAGAATTTCATCCCTAGCAGTTTCGTCTGGGTAACATTTAACAATTTCACTATTTTAACATTTTGAAATGCCAAAAAGAACACACTGATCCTGCAGCTAGGCTTATTAGAGAAGAGCAGTCTCCCAGGCAAGGCAGAAAGAACACGGTCCGCTGGGAGATGGGTAACAGAAAGAAGCAGAGAACACTAGAGAGCAAACAAAGCCGAGCCCCACTCCACTGTGAGGTCTGATTTTCACCAGAATTAAAAACTTCACACACACACACACACACACACACACACACACACACACACACACACACACAATTAAGTAGCATCACCTATAGCTTAATTAAGGTTCAAGTAACAACATCCCCTCCTATACACAGCCACTGATGTCATTAAAATTTAGGGGCAGAAATATCAGGTTTGCCTTCTTAACAAGGAGCATGCAAGCATAGTAATTTGAAAAGGTCAGAAGTGAGCATTCCCACCATGTGGCATGACTGCACCCTCATGTAGGATCAGGAACACAATGAGATCTCCCCCGTTAGACACTTGATACATACATACCTCAGGCACGGAGTTCCTTGCTTGGAGTGGGAGACATCTTTTGAAGCAATAAAAGAGACTGTTCACAGTAAGTTCTCCTAATGATCTAGAATGATTAGTTTTTAAAAGCCCTATCAACATCGAGCCTCTCTCCCAGCTACAGCAACTGACAGTGTGCCTACCAACCACAGCCCGCAGTATGTGCTGCTTAGCATTCTGGAGGTGCCTGGGTTCTGTTCCTGTGTGGACGTAATCAGAGAATTATTTCTCTCAGCTAAGAAACTATCCATGGTCTTTCATTTTGATAAAATTGCTCGTAACTGAGTTAGAGAAGGGGAGGATGGAGGGGAAAGGGAGGCAGAGAAAAATCAATCAGTAGACCTATCTCCCTTTCAAATTGTCAAAAGCTGGGGTTGAAAGGCAACACTTTAAATCAGACAGTCCTGTGGGAACCTCAAAGGTTGGTTGCTCCTACTTTCTCGATTTTCTGCCAGATGGACTTATGTCAGGAGTGACCTCCCAGACAATCAGTGCCCACTGAGCATCCTCTGAGCATGTACATTTCCCCATTGTTCAAAGGAATTAACTTGGTAATAAAAATGAGAAGTTATGGGACCCAGAGAGGTATCTTTCAACATCTTTAAGACAGTAAATCTGCTCCAATTTCTTATTGGATTAAATGCCCAAGGAGGATTAATATGCCAAGAAATAAACAAAGGCAGGAATAGCTAATAGCTCATATTTGGAAGAAAATTTAAAAGATGGGAAACAGAATGCTTCATAAAGAGGTTACTAAATTTTTTCTCATCTCTTTAAAACCTTTGAAAGATAAACCATGTACTACAATTAGAAACATGCATGTTGCTTTAAACTTTGAAATAGGCCAGTTTTTCACATCTATCATACAAACATTTGCATTCAGGAGATGCTCCATTTATGACTTGTAAGCCTAACCAAGAAATGTCGTTTTAAATGAAGCATCAACTTTGTTCACCTGATGGCAGCTCTATAAGACAGTTACACGGTCTTATAACATTCAATTACTATGCATACTAGTTTTTCCTTAAAGAGAAATGGCTACTGTAGCTGTCGTTCTGTATCAGAAGTTCGTTATTTGGCATAGATTTCTTTACATGACACTTAAAATTTTGGTTTGAGTCGTTTTCCAGATTTTGGTGCAGAGACATGTATTCCCCTGGAAGACTTTGTTTCTGATACGGTTAAAAGACAACAAGCATCAACTCAAGCGCCTGTTTTTCAAACATGCACAATGACACATTTTCTACAAACAGACATCAGCGTATGCAGAGCTAGATGCACATTCAGTATATTGTAAATGGTAGAAGCCTCAGAAGTAGCTCAGACCATAGTTAACAAGCTGGGACTATACAGCTAAGTAAACACCACCGACGCACGATTTGCTCTCCTGCAACACGAACTCCGCGTAGGACACCTGGGGGACCATTGGCCAGTACCGAGGGGGGCGGGAGGCGGAAAAGCTATTCCCAAATGCCACTGTGCCAGGTCTTACCCTTCGCATCCCCCGGTCCACGGGCCAGAAGCTCCCTCGGCACCTGTCGCCCAGCCAAGGGGCTGGCTCTCTGCTACAAGGAAATTTGCCCCCAGACTCTACAGAGAGCTCTGCAGACAGTCCAGGCTCCCGCCTGAGCCAGGGGAAGGCTCCGGCGCCAGGGGAGCCCGAAAGAGGCGGAGGCGGAAAAGAAGTGGAGAAGGTAGAGGCAGAGAGCGAGCTGGGGAGGCGGCGCGGGGCGCGGCGGGGCGGGGTGGGAGCGGGGGCGTGCCTGCGGCGATCGGTCAGTAAGTCAGTCGGTCTGCGCGCCCGCGTCCCCGGTCTCGAGCACCCGTGCGCCACAGCCCCCGGGACTGTCGCCCCTGGGCTCTGGCAGGCCGGGTTCGTTCCCTGGCTCTCCCTGGCGTCCCGTTGACCGCGCTGGCCGGCGTGGGGCCGCCCGCCTGGGCCAGCCCGAGCGCCCGTCGCCGCGCCCTGCTCGCGGTCCCTGCCTCTCCCTCCGCTTGCGCGCTGTCTCTGGCTCGCTCTCGCTCCAGTCCCATTTATGAAGCGTGGTCCCATCACGTGTTAATGAGCCTTTGTCCTGCCCTGGCAGCGGCGGCAGCAGAGACTCCGCCAAGGGATCTGCGCGGGGAGGGACCGGCGCGCGGCGCCCGCGGCTCCAAACTTTGCTGCGCGGTCCCCGCCGCGGCGCTGGCCCGGGGGCCAGAGAGGGCCGGCCCTCGGCGCGCGGCGCCCACTGTGTCATCCTCATTCTCGACCACCGCCGCGTCCCGGGGACCCCGCGGCCTGACCCTGTTCTGCTCCCTGGCGCCCTCCCACCCTGGCGGGGCCAAAGGGGACGCGTGCCTCACTGCCCGCGACCTCGGGGCCGTTAATCACGCGCGCTGCTCAGCGCCAGCACCTCGCGGGAGGTCACGCACCCGGGCAGCCGGGACCGGCAACCAAGGCAGCAGGCACGCCGTCCGGGTGCGGTCTCCTCCCGACCCTCCCCTACGCGCCGCCCCCGCTCCCTCAGCTACCTGGCCGCGGCCACCCGTCCTCCGCCCTCGGGGCGCACGACGTCGCCCGGGCGCCTCCCGCGCTGGCCCGCGCGACCACTTGGGCGCGCCCAGCCACCAGGGGTGGCCGCACACGCTCGGCTCTGTGGGCGGCCGGCGCCCCCTCCCCAGCCCTGGCGCTCCCCGCACCTCCTGCTCGCGGGGAGACGCCGCCGCGGCTGGCGGGGGCTTTGCTAGGGCGGGCGCCTGGGGACCGGCGGTGCGCCCTGCCGCCGCCGCAGGAATTAGGGGACATGCTCGTTAATTGGTTCCACTGTCCGCCGCCGTCTGCCTCCTGTGTGCACGGATCAAACCTTAATTGGTCTTTACATTTATCACGGCGAATTGCAACCCTATACACGAGCGTCAGCCCGCAGTTTCAGCCGAGAGGGCCATTCTCCGCCGGGTCCCCGGGGCCCAGCCGGTTGTGGCTGTGGCTGAATTGCGTTTTAGACCTCTTTCTCTCCCGAGATTTGGGTCCACTGGACCCCTCAAGATTTCCACCTGATGGAGCCATATCATGTCAGCTCCAGGGTCCCCGCTGTGGACACAACGTTCAGTTTCAGGGTGGCGAGGTAGCTGCTTGGCATTCATTTTAAGACGCCTTGCTCAGATTCGAGGACGTCTAGCCCAAACAGTATCCTACAAGGCCTCCTTTTTACCAGGGTTCCCTGACATCCTACCCCAGCGCAGAGCCCAAAGCAGTCATAACCGTGTGTCTGGGCCCTTATTTTGAATCTGATGACAAAGATCCATCCCAGAGGCTCAGCCTCGAGGAAGAAGGAGCATTGAGGGAGAGGAAGCTGCAGAACCCGGGAGGAGAGTCAGGCTCTCAGAAGGACAGTCTGAAATCTTCCTACCTACAGGTCTAGTTGAAGAAAGGCTTTCCGGCAGAGCTCCAGCTGTCTGAATATCCCTGAGACTGCTTTCCACTAGAGAGAGTCCTATCCATTTCTATGTCAGGAGATGGCCTTTTGAGATGGAGTCCACAGCTGAAGCAATCAAGTTGTAGGTAAATAGAAACCAAGATCTGACAGACCAGTCCATAGGGGGAGAGATGATTAGGAGAGATGGTTGGGTGGGTGTGGGATATCTGCTGAGCCTAAACCTGCTGCCAGGTACAGGTTCCACTCTGCCTCCTCCAATCCACCTCCAGCAAAGGACCGCTCCTGAAGATTGAGAGGAGAAGGAGGCTTCTGCCCTTTCTTTCAGGGGTTGTGGTTGTTATTATTTTGCCCTCAACTTAGATTGCCAACAGAGCAAGCATTTTAAAAAATGTGCTTTTCTTGGGACCTCCCGGTCTCTGGATAAGTCTCAACACTACCTGCCGGCACTGATGGCTGGTAATTAAAGACGGGAGTCAAGCAGTTCTTGCTCTCAGTGTGGTCAAGTTAGGGAGCTGGGCTCCTCAGTGATGTTAGACAGCATGCTTTCTTGTGGGCGTCGATGCTATCTATGCGCTTGGGTGGCTCAGCACCAATGTTCGGCATCATCCAGGTACCCGACACAGACATACCCTGGTAGTATATGGTGTATCTATGTTGGGTACCTCTTCCCAATATTGAGTCCCCACCCCTTTGCTGGTCAGTATCAAATCTGGAGGAAGAAGTCATTTACAACCTGTGGGAGGTTCTCTATGGAAGTTTTCTGTCAACACCAGCTTTTTTTCCTCCTAAAACAGAGCACTCTAATTCCTAATAAGGATGCTGATGCTTATTCATGCTCAAATTCACCCCAAATCTCTTCAATTAATGGTGTACTTTTTCACTGAATCCTATGAAACATGAGGGAAAAAAATCTATGACTAGGAGTTGTTTGTTCATTGACTGCCTGGAATGATCTGTGGACTGAAACTATCAGTATTAATCTAATCACGGAGAGATTCCAGCCGCTATTACTGTTCAGCTAGTTATTCTGTGGTTCAGAATGGGGGCCTGGAGTCTGACAGCTGGAGAATCATCATCGACTTTATTTAGGGTTCACAGATAACACTCAATAATGGAGCCGAATTTTGACTGTGAACTGGTGTTTTATCATCACAAAGGAATGCTTTGTTAAAACCAAGAAAATTTCATTGTTTGCAAAGTGCCCTTCTTGTAGGTATGCATTTATGTTTTTCAAGTTCTGTCTGTCCCAAATCCGGGGAGTGTCTGGGCCTGTCTCATCAGCCAGGCAACCAGCTGCTGTACCTTCCCTTCTGAGCTGGGGAGCTGGAAGAGAGGCAGGCAGCTGACAGTGGAAAGGCTAGGCATCCTCTGACACCTTGGACTTCACTTTGCAAAGATCACTTTGTATGGGAGAAAATGACTGACATCCCACATGTGGCTGAGTGCACCCTGTACTCCCAGAGGAGAGTGCAGGGCTGGCAAAGGCAAACTGTCAGTATCCCTGTTAGGGATACTATGGTGAGGACACATGTAAATATAACACAAATCGTGAATGACTCTTGATCACTATAACCCAAGGTTGAAATAGAATCTGTGTCCTTCTGAGGAAAGACCTGTCAACCCCTTAGCAGGCTTCACTAGTTCCTTCAGGCTTTCTGCTTTTTCAGATCTTTATTCTTTTAAAATTATAACAGGGCTATGATGAGCCAATTTGCTGCTGTTCTGTGTAATTTGGGTTATTCATTCAGTGGGATGTAGAAGATGAGAACACAGTTAAAGTGGCATGTTTCTACTTCAAAGAAAGATCTGAATTTTAGACAGTCAATATGCTCCTAGTTACACTAGACACAGACCATTAAAGGAGCAATGGCTTTTCTCTGAGACAGCCGTTGATCCCAAAGAGGCTGCACATCAAGGTTTCCCTTTTAACTTGTCCTGGTTCATCAGACCCTCCCACTCCCAAAGTGATAGACAGTGGTTCCCTTATTTGGGAACTGGCAAAGCAAAACACTATTCTCTTTTAAAGTTTAGAGTTTGGGGTTCAAGTTTGGCTCCCACGTAAGTTTGATATGTGCAAGGTGATGCTCACTCCACAGCTAGAATGCCGGATGATAAAAGATATTTGGGGAATGATCTGGCTACACGATTTCATTCTAATTTGGAGAGTTGCTTTAGAATATCAACAGCTGCTCCTGTCTCTCCTCAGAAGTGTTAAAGCATTTTTTATTGCGGTGTCTCTGCCTTGCTTGGTGGCCTGCAGATCTGCAGCCCAGGCTCCAGCAGCTGCAGTGTGAGGTCTGAAATGTCTGCTTGTGACATGTTCCACCAGTGATGCAGCAGCCCGAAGAACCACCCACATCACTTCTGCATGCATCTCAGAACCACAAGCTGCTGATGACACAGGAGGCTGGCTCTCTGTCATCCCTCCATCAGAAAGTCAACTTCCTGAAACGGGCTTCAAGTGGAGAAGCCAGTCGCCAGGGTAAGAAATGAAGGGAAGAAGGCATCTGGAAGGAAGGATGAGGGATTCTTTGACCTCGGGGATACTCTGCTGTATTCGATACAAAGGCGATAACTGTAGCTTCTCCGTGATCTTTCCGTACAACTAAACACATGTTTGTTAGGGCTTTTTTTCTTTTCTTTTCGTCTCCTCACCTTCTTTCATTAACTTGCCAGCTGAGCAGTGGCAAGGAAAGCCAAGAAATGGCAGGAAGGAATTTTTCCTTTGTTAATGTGCTGTGTTCTGTTTTGTTTTTGTCACTAAGCAGAGAATCAGTAATGAGGAGATGCAGCATCCTTACATTGAAATCATGTGAGAAGCATGCTCTAACAGAATAAACAAGCAGATAGTGTAAAAATATAGCAACGAGGAACCAGGTGAATGCAGCTTTTGTTCACCCCAGCTCTATAATTAAAAAGGCTAAAAATGTATGTCTAAAGATCATTTTTTATTTTTAAAAATAGGATAAGCATGTCTAAATATTTTATTGTTTTTAAAAATAAGATTAGCAGCAGTATAATAATGTCAAAACAGCAAACAATGAAAGCTAGTAATAAAGACAGGCACTTCTTGGTCGTCTGCAGGTCTCCTTGAATAAACTGTCTTCCTGGCTGTCTTGGTTACTTTTCTATTGCTATGATAAGACACCATGACCAAGGCAACTTTGCCAAAAAGAAAGAGTTTATTTGAGTCTACAATTTCATAGTCATGACAGTCATGGCAGGAAGTGTAGCATCAGGCAGCCAGGCATAGCACCGAGCAGCAGCTGAGAGCT